CAACACAGTGTCCAAAATCGGGACATAAGACATTTTAAAAGTATATTTGTGAGAAACATCTAAAAGACGTCTTAAAGATGTCTTACATGTACCGACTTTTAGATTTTGTGTTATCCGGGTTTAATTTCGGTTTAACTTATTCTTTATTTATTTTTTTACTTTTTTTTAGAAATTCTAAGAAATAGAAGAAGCATTCAGAGCATTTGACATTCAGAGAAAAAGACGTGGTGGTGGCAACTATGTATAAGATGACAACTGTACAAGTTTTATAGATTTAGTTTATATGTAGATATATGGTAGAATTAATATACATAGTTAAATAAACTATTTTACAGTTGTTGATTATTTTTTAATTATGAAACTATTTTATAGTTATTGGTTATTTTATAATTATGAAACAAAAGCTTAATAATTATAGTTTTCGTAACCGTTCGACTTTAGTTGCAATAACTAAATGAAGTAGTTTATTCAACTATGTACATTAATTTAACATAATCATAAAACTTGTATAGCTGTCATCTATACTGTTGCTACTACTATGTTTTCTTCGCTGAGTGAAACTAAATCAGAATCGAAATACTAAAAACTAAATCTACATTAAATTGAAATGAACATAAGTCGCGCGTCTTTCCAAGAAAAACTTTCTTTTCTTTAATTTTCTCTCTCTCTCTCTCTCTCTCTCTCTCTCTCTCTCTTCTTCGACTCCCCAAAAGATATATTACGTATTCAAAATTTCAGAAAACTGCCTGGGAAAAAGACAAATCGAGGTGAAACAAGTGTACACATCATCGCGTCAGAGCATGACAGTTTAATTCTCAACGAAAACCACGGTCTATTTTTACACACTTGACTATAAAAAGTAACAACAGACCAAATACCGTATTTTATTTACCGTATTTCGCTATAAAAAGTAGAGATTTCGGAACCGGCAAAAATTCCATTTCTTTCGTGGTTTCTTTTCTGTTTTTTTTTTAACTCTCTCTCTTTATTACGTTATACGCAAGCGGGAAAATCCAGCGACACTCCGGCGACGAGATACCGTTTCTGCATTGAATAGAGCGCGAATGATTTCAGTGACACGTAAATACCGCTTAAAGACGCGCGAAGACCTGTTGTGTTGGTTTCTCTCCTCACCGGTCCCTCGGTACACCGGGGACACGATCTCTCTCTCTGCCGAATTCCGTGTTCTCCGTTTACGCGGCGAGCTTTATAGCTTAAGGTGAAATTCTCCGGGTCGTCGCGGGGATACCGAGGAGGGCCACGCGCGGACGAAGATCCGCGACCCTTATTTCCTCTCTCCACGCGGTGGTTACCGATGGTTATAAGAGGACGAGCGGTGACGTCCCGCCCGTCCCGGCCTCGTCGTGAACTCGCGCGGCGTCTCAGCGATGCTGACGTTGGGCGGAATGCTGGCCGTGCTGCTGCGGCTGATGGTGGAGGCCGACCGTGTGATGCGGATGCGGGTGATGAGAGTGCGTGTGCGAGTGCGGATGCGGATGCATCGCCGTGTGTAGGATCCTCGGTGGCGAGCCACCGCGTCTGGACAGCGGCGGCGGCAGGGTGCAGCCGCCGCGCGTCGACGTCGGGGTCGAGACCGTCGACGTCGACGTCAAGGTCGGCGTTGGGGCCGCCGCGGCCGCTACGACCGGCGTGGGCGTCGGCGCCGGCGCCGGCATCGGGGTCGGCGTCGGCGTCGACGTCGGCGACGGCGTCTCGTCGCCCAGCACGTCGATCTCGTCGTCGTCCTCGTCGTCGGAGTCCGCGGGCGCGTCACTGCTCGCGCGCGACTCGCGCCCGCCGCTCAGCGAAAAGTCGACGGGCCGTTCTGTCAACATCAGCAAATAATTTCGTCGATTAATACACCATGCGTATCTACTATACTCAATTCGGGATCGCGATCGGTGAAACTATCGATGCGACAGGCGTTACGTCAACTGTGCATTACCGCAACTATATATGCTATCGTTTTAAGAATTCTAGATTGTCCTCAAAACTTTTCCAAAATGGTTTACATTATAAAATAATGAGGATATCTTATCCTCAATATACGTATATATGGAAAATGGAATTGTTGTACAAGATATATGTGATAACACGAAGACTATATATATAATAAATAAAGAATAGATCAGGGATTAGATTACATTACTGAGGTAAGGTAGAGGAATTGGAAGATGAATATATAGGAATAAGAAGATAGACAAATGTAGATAAAGGCGATATAAATAGTAGGGATATAGGATGGAAGAATTTAAGTTAGTCAATAGTATTAGAAACGATCATATATACACGGCGTAAAGTATACATGATAAAGTATGTATATATATAAGTATAGTGGATGGATGAGTGTGTGGATAAGTATTTTTTGTAAACCAAGTCCCTTTTTACACTGTTAAATTTATATAGTGTCAACCTTATTTAAGTCGCTACTGCTCCTACTTAATAAATAGTTATTTTTAACTAAAACAATGGAGTTAATTAATTTAAAACAGTTCAAATTTAATAATCCAAATTTGGGTTAAATTTCGTTGTTTTATTTAAAAATAACTATATTGTTTTAGCTAAAAATAACTATATATTAAATAGGAGCAGTGGCGGCTTAAATACGGTTAAATTTGACACTATAGATCTACAGTATAGCAATGTGTAAGCTGAAGTAAATAAATATCTATCTATTTTATTCTCAATATAATTTTAAATCGTGTTTTATTGTATCATCCGTAGATTGGAAATAGTTCTCGAAATCGATAAACCTTTATAGAAATTTAATGGAGGAACACAGTGTCCAAACAACATAGTGTCCAAAATCGGGACATCTTTTAGACATTTTATGTCCCAATTTTGAACTTTATATTGTCTGGGTAGTGATTAATTCAAAATAAATAATCCTAATAAATAATTAATCCTAATCAGTATATATTCGCGGGTTTAGTAAATCCAGACATTTTTGAAATTTTTTTACGCGCCAAATCTCCAAATAACGTTATAAAAAATTATTTATAACAAATATTTTTTACAATTTTATATAATTTTAAGTTACATAATCTTATTCCTCGGATTTTGACCTTTAAAATGAAAAAAAAATTATTTAATTATGTTAACCGTTATAACAAAGATACATTAATTAAAAATTTTTTCAGGTACACCGGATCCGCGAATATCAGTTAAGTAAATTTTAGAGTGAATATCGATTAAAATTAATTACTTGTTTTAAATATTAAAAGTGCTGTTGTTTGATGTCAAAATGTAAATGAGTAATCACTATCTTTAAATATTAAATTTGATTTCTGTAAGAAAAGCCTTAGCCTCTTCTGGAAATTCTAAGTTTTCGTTTCGAATTAATCCAGCCTTTGGATATTTATTTTTTATAATTAATATCATAAAGAGCCGCTTTTTGTTTATAAAGCAAAAATCCATTTTTTGAGCTAATCAATTCTCGCCAGCTGCTTGAAGCGAACAAACATTCGATTTAATTTATACTTGTCTTCTTGGAATAAAGCTTGGTCAAATAAATAGTTTTTCATCCATTTCGATACTCCAAAATATTGCGTCTTGCTCGTAACACAGGTCGTGCCCGACGTTTGGAAGCCGAACACGGTAACAAATTTTTTCGTCGCTCATTTTCACAGTCCGCACCGCAAATATTTCCGTGAGAATACAGACGATTCTCCCGTTTTCTGTTTTTCGATCAGTGGATATATTTGAATAAAAGTCGGATTCGGCGGCACGCGCGTCGCTACGGGCCTACGAATAGCCCTCGCAGCGGCGAGCACAATCGGGAATATAGGTCTGACCGAGCACTTAGCGGGTAATTGAGCAATTCTCTCGTCGAGAGACACCGGGTGTAAGACGAGAATCGGAACAAGACGGCGAAAGAGAGGTATCGAAGGAGGGAACGAATCTCTCTCTCTCTCTCCCTCCCCGTGTGGGGGGGAGGGGGAGAGGTTCCTTACGTAGCTCGCTCGGAGTCTCTAAAGACGCCCGAGGCGGTCTCCGTCTTCTGTGTGCCCTCCACCCTACTCACCCTCCTCACGATACCTCCTTCTTGGTTGCTGCCAAGGAGACGTCTATGTAACTCGGTTAGCCCTTCCTACCGAGAACGAAGCCATCTTGTCTACCGAGACGAACAACTTGGATATATATAGGATGCGAACGCCATGGACCAAACTATTTAAATCGCTGCGAAATGTCTCTCCGCGCCGTCTCGTTAAACGATCGCTTTTATATTCGTATATACGCCGTGAATGCCGGGGTGGCCTAACGAGCGTGTCTTCCGGCAAAGAGAAACTCATCGTGTCACGTTATTGAAAACGGAAAATAAAATAAATACAGCGTAAATCGTTCCGAGACAACCGCATCGCCCGCCGTGGTAAATTTTCTTCTATATAGAAAATTAATATAATGCGCTACGCTGAAAATAGAAAATAACACGTAAAGCGTTTGAGGCATTGACATCATCGTGGTGAATTTTCTTCTAGGAAATTAATATAACGCGTACCATATTGATAACGAAAAGTAATAAACATGAAATCGTTTAAGGCACCGACACTGCTACGGTGAATTTTCTAGAAAATTAATTATATACATTATATTATCGAAGACAAAAAATAATACACAAATTGCACGAGGCAACACTACTACGATAAATTTTCTATTAGAAAATATTAATATAATGCACGCTGTGTTATCGGAAAATAATAATAATAATAATAATAAATCGCTCGAGGCAACGACATCATCATGGCGAATTTTCTTCTAGGAAATGAATGTAACGCATAAGGTAACTAGGTAACACTTGAAAGTAGTGATTAATATTTATTTTTTGACACTAAACGGCAGTACTTTTAATTCAAAATAAGTAATTAAGCCTAATCCATAATTATTTACTCTAAATTTTTAAAGTAACTGATATTGGCGGGTCTAATACAAAAAATTTAAATTACCTAATGTAGCTTTGCTTCGATTAACAGTGATACCACCAAGGCCATTTTTCTTTTAGATAAACAACAATATGTGACATCGCTCGAAGCAACGACACCATCGCGATTGATTATCTATTAATATTAATCGTAACGCACAGCATATTATTGAAAATGGAAAATAACACGTAAATCGTTGAAAGCAGCGACTAATCGGGACGAATTTTTTTTCTAAGAAATTAATGTACCGTATGCCATTGAAAATGGAAAATAACATGTAAATTATCCGAGGCAACGACACCATCGCGACAAATTTTCTTCTTAGGAAATTAATATAACGTGTACCTTGTCATCGAAAATGGAAAATAACATGTAAATTATTCGAAGCAACGACACTACCGCGGCGAAAGAGTGCCATGACCCAAAAAAAGGTGGTTTTTTCGCCCGTTTTTTTGGTTCTCGATTTTGGGACTGGACTATGTGCCAAATAGTACCTTATAATAAAATATTAATTACAGAGAAATTTCAGGTTGAGGTGACAATTGTTATCACAGCTGGAGGGAGTCACTTATTACGTTTCTTTATGCAAAAACTCGATTTTTTTACATCCAAACCGAGCGTCATTTACGTAAAACTATACGATCAATCTTCATCGACTGGATCAATCTTCTTAAAATACCGGATCTCGCAGATCTACACGGAAAGAACAATTTTGCTGAATCTGATCAGATCTGATAATAATTTTTATTCAATAATCAAAATAATTTTGTGCGAAAGTCAAAGTAATTGCTAGAATATCGAAACGTTTTATAGCAATGCTTATCAGTTTAAACATTTCAAAAAATTATTTTCAGATCTGTTTTTAGCAAAATTTTTAAACCTTTTAACAAAATCGTTCTTTCCGTGTATGATAATTTCATAACGAACTTTGATTTCATCACCCCCTCTCCTCCAGCTTTGATAACAATTGTCATCTCAACTTGAAACTTCTCTCTAATTAATGTCTCATTATGAGGTATCATTTGGCACACACACAGACTCAAAATCGAGGGCTCAAAAAACGGGAAATTTTTTGGGCCACTCTTTCTATTCAGAAATAAACGTAACGCGCAACGCGTTATATCAAGAACAGAAAAATAACATGGAAGTTATTCAAGACAACGACACTCCGCCGTGACGAAATTTCTTTTACGAAATTAACGTAACGTACGGCATTATTATCGAAAACGGAAAACAACAGGTAAATTGCTCGGAACAACAACATCGCCGCGGCGATCAAGTTCTCCTCTGGAAAATTGATTGTAATGCGCATGTATATAATGTGTATATAAACGCCCGACCATCACCGGGCGGGCGATTATGGTAATATATCTACGACGGAATGCGACCATTACGCAGATACCGTTAATGATTATAGTTCCTCGCAACGTAACCACGGTTACGGTCTGGCTAGTTACGCCGAACTTGCGTAATTTATTGTCAGCGGTATTTTGGTTGCATTATACAGATATCGCCCATTAGCGTGACAACAGGGAAGTATTTAACGACAACCGACGTTATAACGCGCCGTCCCGCGCGCGCTTCCTCGCCTCACCGCTCCGGCCAGATTAACCGATAACTATGGCCCGATTAATCCCGGGTCGTATCGCCGGGGCGTATCGACTCGCGAATACAGTTAATTTGATTAACATTTCAATACGCACAATAGCTGGCCTATTACGAATTAACCTGCCTATTACTAATTACGATTGTCACGCGGTATTTCAAAGAGATTAGTATAACGTCCGACCATCAGGATCCACTTCCCTGGAAGTCGCTTTCCCGCGGGCGTGTATAAAAACGGGACGACGATTACACTACGATATATACCATACGCTCATGTTTTTTTTATTATTATTATTTATCATAGCGGCGCGCAGAGCCATTCATGCGTTGCCGCTTATCTAGGACACGGCGTCATTAATCCGAGCTAATTAACTCGCGGCGCGGGAATACTGCTCGCAGCTGTTTATCGAAAAGTCGATACGCGCATTTAATTTGCCGGTAATTAAGTTACGCGTTGCGGAGGCTATTCGCGACGCGACATTCCGTAGATACCGTGTAGGTCGCGATGTCCTTTAAGCATTAACGTTCAATCGCGCGCGGTAAACGCCTCGTTACAGCCCCGTTCCGCATCCGTTCTCTCTCTCTCTCCCCCCCTCCCTCCCTCCCACCCCCCTCCTCTCACTCTCTCTCTCTCTCTTTCTCTCTCTCTCTTTCAAATCACGCGCGCGATGTCGCACCATGCAAAACGAAGGCGCGATTTACATTTTTTTTCACCTGTCGAGATAAAAGGCAAACCCGTCGGCGAAAACACGGGGGATGGAAATGGACACACATCACTCACCAGCAGGCGACGTAACGGATATCGATTGCTGGCCCGAATTGGAATTGCCGTTGCCGCTCGTGTTCAGCTTCCTCAGCTGCTTCTTGTGCTTCATCCGCCGATTTTGGAACCACGTTTTCACTTGGGTCTCGGATAGGTGCAACGCCGCCGCCAGCTCTACCCTCTCGGGCGTGCTCAGGTATCGCTGCACCTCGAACCTCGCTTCCAAACCCGCCAGCTGCTGGTCGCTGAATACCTGAAGCCGTATAAGGAAGCAAACTCTTGTCTCCTACAGTCGCGAGAGAGATGAATGCAAGGGAAAGAAAAAAAAATATATAAATAACTAAAAACGTAAATACGCGTAGAATGGCGTGACTAGAATGTGACAAGAAGCGGAAGAAGTAAACTGAAGAATATATCGTTTAGCTAATAACTATCGTAGATACGCCTCATTGCTGTAAATAATCGTACGCGGAATTTACATGTGTTCGATTTGTATTCGATTTGCTTCTCGCCTCGGCTAAAGTTCGTGTCATCCTGTACATTAGGCCTGTTCTTTGTAGCTGAACTGGCTGCACTATAGTTCAGAGTTTATTTTTCTTCTTCCAATGTAGAAAGATAAACTAGTGCAGCCAGAGTTCAGCTATAAAGAACAAGTCTACTGGAGATTGAGAATTGCGAATTAAAGAATTAGAATTCGACCGTGCAGTTAAACAATTTTAATTTTAATCCGTTTCGTACTAATTGATAGAAACCTAATCTCCACAATTCACAATCCTCAATCTCCGCAATGAGTAGGATGAGTAGGATAACGGGCTTGATGATTGTCGGAACAATTTGGACAACTCGATCCGCGGAAAATTTACATAACGTTTACGTAATTCGCGAAGCGTTATTCTTAGGCGCGACGCTCGATTCCTGATTTCCATCCTGGAGATGCGGAAGACGTCGGTCTTCTCGCGTCGTACGAGAGAGAGAAGGAGTATCGATGATACTCACAGTCCGGGCCTTCCGTCGTCGGCAATGCTTCAGGGCGGCCAGTTCCCCGACCCCCGGCACCACGCTGACCCCCATGCCGGCGCTACCGAAGAGCGGCCCCAAGAAGAAGGCCGCCGCGGCGGGCGGTGCCGCGGGATAGCCCGGGAGCAGACTGGCGAACTGCTGGTACTGATGGTGCTGCGCGTGGCCGGAGGCCGACGTCAGGTGCTGATGGTGCAGCTGGTGATGGTGAGTGTGCGGGGTGACGGTGCCGCGGCTGAGGATATCCTCGATGAGGAACGACGTTCTGCTGGCGGACGTTCCGTTCTGGCCTGGCTGTGCTTGCTGCTGCTGGCAGGTCGACTGCATCTTTCCTCGTTCGACGGCGCAACTACGTTGCGGCTACGGCGACGCGTGCAGCATGCCACTTTGTCGCGCGATTACATCCTCGCCCGGACGGCGTCCTGGCGAGGTCGCGAGATCTCGCCGATCGCGCGAGATCCAAGAATCCGAACTCCGTTTCTCGCGCCAGGGACGAGACGGTAAAGGGAATCCCCCGTGAAAGGGGAAACCTCGTAGTTCACTCTCGAAACTCCCGGATCACTTTCCTTCGGTCGTGCGTATCTCGATCGCGTGTCGGCGACAAGCCCTCGGCGTGTCAGCGACCTGCACTCCAAGCCCCTAGACTAATTGGCTCCAGCTAATCGGACGTGGTATACGTCCCGCGAGTTCATCCCCCCGAATCTCGGAATCGCGATTGATCGTCGCGGGATCGTCCGTGCCCACGGATCGGGTATATGAATCGCGCGAGACGCCGTCTGTCGCTCACTGTCTTTTCAACCGTGCGTCGTTCTCACCGAGACGTCGTCTCGTTCGGGGGCGCGTATCGGTGAGCGCGGCGCGATTCAGGGCGATTCAACCCCCCGCGCGCGCGAGACGCGATCATCGGGCAGCCCCTCCCGCCAGTTGGCGTTTACCGCGGCGGCGGCGGCGGCGGCGGCGGCGGCGGCGGCGGCCCGTATCACCCGATGGAAGGGTGAGACGCTTCGGATCCCCCGAGTGTATCCGAAGGCCGGCCCGCATTGGCCGGCGTCGCGACGCTCGCCGTCGCTCGGGGTTGGCTCCGCGACGCTCCCGGGGGCGGGACTCGGCCACTCGTTTCCATGGACACGCGCTCGGGTATTCGTGAATCCGAAGCGGCGTACGCGTCTCGCCGCCGAGGGAGGCGGCGGCGACAACGGCGGCGGCGGCGGCGGCGGTGGCGCGCGCGGGAGGGACCGACGATCCTTCTGTATTCGCGATTCCTCCCCCCATTCTGTCGCGCTCTCGCACGTATAGGATAATAATGCGAAGTGCAAGCATGTGTATGTAAGAGTACGTTACGAAAACCCCCTCGCGCGCTTTCGCCAGCCACCCCCTCCCCCCCTCCCCCTTCCACCCTCCCCCTCCCACCGGTCGTAGCCGTTCGTTGTACGTGCACGACGCGCGACGATTCCTCGGTCTCGCGAGTATATTTGAAAATCATTTCACCCCCGTACGTCTCTTTATCTCGTAGATAAGGCTCTAATTTCGAAAGTGTCGGTATACTCATCCTCTCCCCGGGACTCCCCGAAACCGATCGCCTCTTCTTACGCGGCGTTGATCTCGCGACGGCTTTTGGTACGGCCAGCGTTCGATCTCGATCCGTCGTGCGATATCCCGCGCGCATCCCCTCATCGTCGAAGCGGTAATCAGGTTTCTCGCTACGTCGCGGTACTCCGCGCCCCCCCCCCGCGCGCGCGCGCGCGCGGCGCTGTATCGGTATTGAATCTTGGACGAGAGAGGACGAGCGCGGCAATGTGGGATTAAATTACTTAGCGGATCGTGTATACGGGGGCGCTTTCCAAATGGCGGTTCGCAAGCGCGTGGCGTTTGACGAGATGACTGCGTCTCATCTCCATTTACCTGCATGAACGGTATAAACAAAGCGGTAAAGTACAAGGCTCGAAAATGGAAAAGGTGCACGTTATATCCTGTATAGAAAATTATCGTCTGATGGGATAAGCGTGACATTTTTTTCACATTGAAGATATAGCGTAAACATCTTAAGAGAAAAAGGAAAGAGAGAAGAAAGAAAGGAAGGAAAAGAGACGAGAGGAATCTTATATAACACTCTGTAACGGCCTTAAGCGTTAATCCTTCGAATCACGGCTTTTCGAATATCTCTCAGCGATATCTCTCTCCAGCGGCGTGACGACGGCCGGCTATATGATTAGGGTCGAGGGACGCGTGCCGACATTTAGACGGGGTTGCTTCTGCGATTATTGAGTAAATTAACGTCGCGGTAATTGCGTTACCGGCGCGTGTCCATCCGTCCGTGTGCGCCCGCCCGCGCGTCGCTCGGCGTCGCGTAACCCTCGCTTCCAACCCTCGCACCCTCCGCGCATTTGCGCCAGTACAGAGAGAGAGAGAGAGAGAGAGAGAGAGAGAGAGAGAGAGAATTGAGAGCCGCCCTCCCCGCGACTCTGCCCGTAAAGCCGAAAATCCATCGTCCGGGGTTTCGGCGCGGCGCTCGCCAACGTCCTTTCCGCCGAGGCTCGCGGATCCTCCAGGGACTCGTTAGACACGAGAGCAAAAAACATGCATCAGGCACGCATTTAATTTTCAAGTTTGTTTATTGCGGAGCGTCATAAAATACATGCATGCTGCGCGCAGCCTGAACTCGACGGGCTGCGTTTCACATTGATGCGCTTATCCGAACAGAGAAATGTGTACATCTATAAACTTGCTCGCGCGACCGATACGACGGCGCTTTACGATATCTTAACAAAACGTACAAAAGATATATATATACGCTACGCGTATATTTGACGAAGCTTAGACTAGATACATCCGATGCGTCATCCGACATTGCGGAATCTGCTGTAATCTAAATAATTATATCCTTTTGTATTTTATTTTTTCGATATTTGCTTAAATTCTGCTGTCCGTCCAGATCTATTGTCCCCAAAATTAGTTGTTCATTTTCTTGCTAATATTTTATTTAGAAGCTTTTTTTCTGACGTTTGATGATTCCGTCTAATGTAAGCACTTTCTCCTGTGAAAATTTTTCATTTTGATTTCTCAGAGCCTTTTGATATTGACTCAAACGATACGATTGTATAGTAAACTTGAACAGAACAGCAGAGTCAATGTTAAAAAGCGTAGCAAAAAGACAACACAATTAATTGCATTTAACAAAAAATATATATGCAAATACACACAAGTATATATATGTAATTAAATGTCATCGTCGTTGGCTGCGCGTTTGTAAAAGGCGCGGGAGAAGGTGGCCGGACCCTGCGACCCGCAGAAGAAGAAGCCGCGCCGCCAGAGGACGAAGAACGCCATGCCGATCGGGATCGCGATGAGCAGACCGATGAGCACCCCCACGAGGATCGCGGCGTCCTTCTCCGGTCTCGCGTTGTACAGATCCAAGCAGCGCAGGTGTCGATCGGCCAAGGACGCGAGCTTCTTCCCCGCGTGTTCCGGCGGCGCGGAGCAGGTGAGCCCGTCGGCCTCGTCGCCCATCAGCGCCTCGCCGTATTCCGGCAGCAAGGTCCCGATCTAGCGAGAGACAGTTATATTATTATTAAGTTACGTCGCTGTATAACACGAGCCGGATCAAGACGCGAGAGCGACGTGTCGCGCGAGAGAGGGAGGCTCCTCTACCCATTTTTTTCCCTCTCGACCTCTCGCCGCGACCGGTGCTCGCGCGCGTCCCTCGATTTGCCGGAACTTACCAGATATTGATTACCGCAATCGCAGCTCCACTGGTTGCCCGTCAGGCGCAATTCCTCGAGCTTGTCCCATCGCCCGACGAGCAGCACCGGCAGATACCGGAGTGCGTTGAACGCCACGTTCAGCTTCCTCAGCGGCGGCCACATCGTGCCCTCGGCGGTCTGCGGAGCAAGATTGTACAACGATTCGTATTATCGTCGAAACGGCGCGCGGCGTCGCCGTCGCGCTCACCCGTCGGCTAGTGTATACTATAATCGACGTTACCGCGATCGCTAACGCGAACTCCTCGATCCTTGCCAGTTTGTCGCAATTCTGCAGGTGGAGAATCTCCAGGCCAGTCAACGCCGACAACCCGCCGTTCTTGATCACCGTCAGATTCGGCATCTCGCGCAGACTGAGCTCCCGCAGCCTCGTCAGGTTGGGAAAGCCATTCGCGCGATCGATAGCGCGTATCGGATTGGCATCCAAGTTGAGGTACTCCAAGCTTCCGAGCTCCTCCAGCCTGGGTAGAACTGTGAGCTGATTGTTGGTCAGGTTCAGTCTCTTCAGATGTCTACGGGGGAGCAGCGAAAGGTCTCGTCAGGCAGCGCCATTCTCGAGTGTTTCGCCACGCAAACACAGATTACAGCTGCAATGTTGCAACAACACCGTAACATTCCAGCTATATTGCAGAAATGTCACAATGTTGCTAACAATATTGCTAACAGTCATAAATCTGTGTTTTGCATAATTGCGAAACTGTAATCGTCGTATTATTCACGGTTCCTTACCTGGCATTGTGGAACTGACGATTCGGTAGGTCTTCCAGTTGGCAATAACTGAGGTCCAATTCCTCCAAGTATGACAAACTGCTGATCGCGATAGCCGTACGATAGTCGAATACGCCGAATGGATTTCCGGACAGGTTCAGCACCTTGAGATTAGCAAGATGCTCGAATATGCTTTGATGTAACCAGTGGAGTACGTTGTTAGCCAGATTCAAGATCTCCATGTTCGACAGAGGCTCGTACGCTTCTGGCGAGAACTTCCCCTAAAATAATCGGAAATAACGTTGTCTCCAAGCTAACAGTATATATATAGACACGTAAAAAGAACGATTTTGCTGAAGTATCTAAAAATTTAGCTAGAAATACAGCTCTGAAAATAATTTAATTGGATCATAAAAATAATTACCTATATAGAACCCTCAAGCATAAAGTTAATATTGCAAAAAGTTTTGATATTTTAACAATTAATTTGAGAGAACGTTCAAAATTAGAATTACTTTAATAATCTAACATAATTATTTTCAGATCTGTATCTAACTAAATTTTTAGATACTTAAAAAAAAACAATAATTTACTTCTATATAGGGAAACGGAGCACAGCTGGTAATCGATTTGAGTGGAAAAGTCGGAAGATTCCTTTTTGTGATTTATGTGAACGAATACATGAAAAAAATGATTTTGTTGAAAGGTCTAAAAATTTTGCTAAAAAACAGGCCTAAAAATAATTTTTTGTTGAATCATCAAAATAATTTGTTAGAATGTTAAAACTAAATGATAAATATTGGTATAAAACATTTTGATATTCTAACAATCATTTTGACTTTCGCACAAAATTATTTTGATTATTGAACAAAAATTATTTTCAGATCTAGATCCAGCAAAATTGTTCTTTCCGTGTAAGCACAGGTTCTAATGCAAATTATCTGTGGAGTGAGTTAATATTTTATCGTGACGCACAAAACAGCGTATAAGGCGCGCTGAATCACAAGCCACGAGATTCATCAATTCAATTAGCGGCCTTATCATTATTTCACTGCCGTATCTGTTAATTCTATTAAAATCTATTGGAGATAGCAGAACGCTGAAAATTCGGCATTCGAAATAATTTTTCTGCGAATTCGTTTTATCTATATACAAATCGAATAAAGAGAGATATATTCCTCTTCTTTGAAGCTTATTCTTCTCTCCCTCGTTATTTTCTATCGTTTGCGAATCGAACAAGTGATCGACGAATTTTTGTCGAAATAAAATCAGGAGAGTTTCGCCACTATTCCAAATGCTGATCTCGGAAATATAATTTAAAAACATTTAAAGACAGTTAAAAAATATCTCGAAGCTACGATTAATTCTTTCATTCCTGAATTATTTAATAAAAGCTATAAAAAGGATTTGTATTTTGTGTATGTTACGCAACGAATATACACAAAATAAGAGATTCATAAACATTGTTACATTTTAAAAAGTTTAAGAATTTTTTTATTATTTATATTGCAATTATGTGTAATAATTTGCACCTTTTAAAGTTGTTAAAAAACTGTTTGAGTAATAACAACGTTTCCAAGCCTGTATTGTATTTATGTATAATAACATTTATCACCGAAATGCGACAGCAGTAATTGAAAGGTGATAACACATGAAAAATTATTTAACTCTCTATAACGCCATTTACCTTTGAGATCACATATAGTATTATATATTTATTTTAAGTTCTATTTAATTTTTTCATTTGAAGTGTACGTATATAGTTTTACTGCAGTACAATTCTATATGTGTGTTCTATGCAAATTGTATCCCATCACTCAGTACAACTTCAAAGTTATAACTTATTTTTTATAATAAAATATTTAAACATTAAAAATCAATTGTTAGTTCTTATTTTAAAGTCAATGTTTGTTTCAAATTATGAAATTGTTTTTTAAACACAAAGAAAACTGTGTTAGAGGGTTAAATATATATCGAGTGTTACTATGCAAACTTTTTGTAACCATCCGTATAAGATTAAAAAAAAATCTAATGCATATCCACGGATCAAAATATAGTAATATTTTATTTTATAATTCTAAATACGTGACCGCGTAGCTGTAATGGGTATAATACAAAAAGTTCTCCATAATAAAAAAAAATTTTATAATATTTCATAATATTAAAAATAATATTCATAATAAATTTTTAAGAATTTTTTATATTTTAAATTTATGTAAATTTCTAAAAAATACTTTCAACTTTTTCTTTAGATTTTCTAAGTTTTTTTCAAAAATTATAAAATAAAAATCTCTTAAAATATTCCAGAATTCACACTTTATATAAATATAAAGAATTTTAGAAGAGATGTAGGCATTCTTAGCATTTCTGAAAAAAGTATTCAAATTCATTAAAAAATCTGAGAAATTTTCTAAAATTATATACAAATTCTGAAATATGTATAGAAGTTCTGAAAAATTGTATGGAGGGTTCTAAGAAGAATTTTCGTTGAAATTGCAGAGAATCAAAATCTCGATCGATGAATCATGCATTAGAGGCCGACCATGTTTGCTCCACCTTTCAATCGGGCTAATGCATTAACGCGTATACTATCATTTTACCTCGAAGACATGCGGCTGCAGCCTCTGCGACGTGAGTTGGTTATCACTCAAGTCCAATTCCGTGAGATTAACGAGCTCTTTGAAGGCGCGATAGTCGATTCTGGCGATACGATTTCTTCGCAGAATTAGTCTCTCGACAACTATTGGCGGGAAGGGCGTGACGTGCACCAATTGATTACGCTCGAACGAGATTATCTTGGCCGTTATGTTCAGCCATTGCTGCTTTTCGAAATGCGTCTCTAAGCTCCGGTTACTGCAGTCCACGTAGCTCTCTGAAAAGGAGTGTGTTGCTCTCAATTATACAAAAAGAACAGTTTCGCTGAAGTATGTCTGACAATTTAATTAGATACAGATCTGAAGAGAAAAATTATGTTGCGCGCGCGTCCGCAATTATAATACTCTCAAACTGCCCAGATAACAAGCTGATGTTATTAATTACCATTTTGACGAAATTGACGGCATTAACTGTCATTTCAACATCAAAATGATGCATCAAAGTGACGGCGAATAATAGCTTGCTATTTGGATGGTCGTCAGAATGTCAAAACTTTTAGCAACATTACCATCATGCTCCCAGATTTCGTGGAATATTTCAGCAATATTGCAGCAACGTTCCGACAATATTGCTGAAATATTTCTGGAATATTCAGTGTTGTAAGAACTTACATAATTATTTTGATGCTAAATTTAATAAAATTATTTTCAGATCCTTATCTAGCTAAATCTTTAGCAAAACACTTCAGCAAAATCAGTTGTTTCCGCATAATTATCAAGCGCCCCAATGGATCTTCGCGGCGTGCTTTGAAGAAAAGGCTCGCCATGCGCGTTATCTCCGCCTTCGATCCAAGAGCTATAAAGACGAGAGTTTTAAGCTGCGACACTACCTGCACAAGAGCACACGGTACATACACTCGCTGGCTGCGACGTCACGTTGTCCGCTTTAACATCAATCGCGCCCGAATCCGCGGTCGCGTTTCCCTGATTTTCGCATCTCGCGAGAAGGATTATCGCGAGCAGAGGCACCAACAATCGGAGATCCATCGTTAGCGAAGAAGGCCTCGCGATTTTCTAAGCTTTCCCGACGGCGACGACTGAGATCGGTGCGACCCGTATCTGACGCTTCATGTATGATAACAAAGTGTGTAGCGATAAGATAACATCGCTTGTAATTACTCATCGTTCGAGACGAGCTAGAGAAAAGAGCGGCGGAGAAATAATTCCTGATAGTTAATAATCCTCCTAAATTGTCGAGCGATTCACTCGCGAGAATGATTGTAAACACCGTAAATATATATACGTATATATACGGCAGACACGTTCCGGCGCGCATTATTGAACGCCACGAGAAATCTCGCGGCGGAAATGACGAATCTCGGTGCACAAGACGTGCGCGTGTATCATTGTGTAAATGTAGGTATCGGTGTCGAGACATACATTTTTCAAGTGGCCGTTCAATAATAAGACAATTGCTGATCAAAGTCGTTCGAAACATTTATATATATATTATATGACCTTAACGGACTGCAATTAATTGATTTTTTTAAATAATTTCCTTGTAAAGTCGTTTACACTTCGCATGAATATTTTGAAGTGTAATTGAAAAGATTGGACAGACGCGCGCAGACAATTGCAGATAATTTTATCTAATTAATTATACTTTTACACTGCTCATAGTTAAATGACATAAATCCATACAGCATAAAAACTTACAGCCTTGCAGCATTGCTGCAAGATTGCAATATTGCTACAATATTGCTGGAACATTGCAATGTTGCTACAATGATCTGTGCTGTATGAGAATAAATTAAATTTTGTATATGAATTAAATTGTGTTTTGTATAAATTTAACAGTTTTTGAACTAATTATATAATTATGTAATTGAAAAGATTTGATAGTCATTTGAATTTCAATTTAATATTCTTATACTACATAACTATAACCGACATATTAGCTAAATTTATCCGATTATTCGAAACGCGAGACCGATCGATTGTTATCGAGAACGCGACGCCGCGCCGCGCCGCCTCGAAGCGTCAAGGTAGTGACATCTTCGGCCGCGCAGCCGAACCTAGAACGATCAGGGCGTTGTGTCAACGACCGAAACGCGATCTCGACTTGACCAGCTATTGTAGACGTCACAGACGACAAGAAATGAAAATTTTTTTCGCTCTCGGCGCAAACTCGCCAAGTATCAGACTAGTATTAATGCGAATATTTTAATTTTGGAAGAGGATTTCCAAATCTATTAGTAATAACGGGGAAAAATCTTGATACAAAAATTATTGCGTTTTGTCAGTAAAACACAGACGTATACAATTATATAGATAAATAAAGAAATACATTTTTGTTACAATAACTGAATGTTTGACGTTACTAAGAAATCATGATTATAAATAAAAACATATCTAATTTAACCCTGACAATTCGAAAATAAAATAAGGAATAAAGAAGGTTGAAAAAATTAAAAGTGTAGACTGTGCAGAGTGCAAGCAGTGTAAAGCCGTAATCACGCTAGCGATTGAGGTCGAGATTGGATTGAAATTTGACCAATCAGAAGAAAAATAACTAATATCAAGTTTAGTAAATTTTGCTTTGATTGGTCAAATCCCAATCCGATCTCAATTCTCAACCGCGCTACAGTGTGATTACGGCTTAAATGGCAGTGTGGCGCCATCGGTCGGGTGGCCGGCGCACCGCGACGGCGCCGCCGCGGCGAGAAACCTTCGGCGACGAAAAGTATTGAATCGGTGACGTCACAAAAGACGGGGCCAGTGGGAAGGAGCGTGTGGAGACGGGGTGGATGGTCGCGTTTGTGCGAAAAAATGTCCGGCTACCGGGACTTATCGTCAGCTACATGAACGTGCGGTGAACGGTACTCGGCGGCGAAACGAACGCGGCGGTGAGACCATAACCGGCGCTTACGCGCGCGCTCGCTCGCAGCACCCGGCACTCCGTGTGCTGCGTCAGTGTGTGGTCGGGGCCACTGGCGGTTAGTTTCTCGGTGACGCTGCGCGGCGGCTCGTCGGTTCCAGTCTCTCCGGGAACGAGCCGAACGAGGCGACGAACGAGGTGCGTGCGTGCGTCCGTCCGTCCTCTCCCCCCCCTTCCCCTCCCCCCCGGCACGTGCATACGGGGCGAGAAACACGGCAAAACACGGACGGGGGGTCCTCACCCCCTCGTCGATGCCCAGTCGTCGCTCCGCTCGCGGCGGCGGTTATGACAGCGGCGGCGGCGGCGGTTCGATCGCGCGCCGCGTAGTCGCGTGAAAAACAAAACGGAACGAGGCGTATTGCGCGGAGCGGAACGGAGCGGAGGTGCAGCACGCCGCTTCTGGGTGACTAGTGACGCTACAGAAGCTCACGGTAAGGGTGCCCGACGAGGAAGGTACGAATGATATATTCCACGTATTCGTGACGTTCGAGGACAATGATCGAGGACGATCGTCGATTCGCTCCGCGTCGTCGATCGCTCAGCCGTCGTTTCCGCACGACGGCGACGGCCGTCGCGAGGTTAGGTTCGGCCGGAGTCCGATCCCAGCGCGGCGTGAACGCCCATTTTTCTCAACGGGACAAGGTCGGGCCGCGTCGCGCGGGTCGCGCCCTCGTGGACTCGCACGAGCGACGACAACGTCGTCGTCGTCGTCGTCGCGATTCTTCGATCTCTCGATCGACGCTCTTCGGGGGGGGGGGTTAGCGTCGTCGTGATTACGAAGTTATTCCGCGTGCTCGTCGCATCTCGCGTGGAAAACACGCAAACGACGGCGGCGGCGACGTTTTATTTTTTTTTCGCTCAAATCTCTCGCGTCGCTCGGCGCCGAAGAGCCGTGGGAGAGTCATCTCTTTGAACCCCTCCCGGCGAACGGCGACTGCGAAATCCGAAGACCGGTGCGCATCGACGACGCCGATAATCACCTCTCGTGGATCGCTCGTCGCGTCCGACATTTTTGTGTGAAAAAGGTGGGCCGCCTCCTCGCGGCGGCGGGTCCTCCGCTGCGAAAGCGCGCAGCTCTCGTTTCTCTCGGGTGGGAGAGCAGAGAGGGAAAAAAAGACGCTCGCGACGTAAACAAGCGTCATCGTCTAGTATGCGTGACGACCGATATATATATATATATTTCCGAAGCGTCCGGGACGCGAGATGAGGGGGATACGTATGCAAGCACGACATCGCCGCGAGAGATGATCAGCTGATAACATCTCTTCGGTCGCTCGTTTACGCCGATCGCTGGCATGATCCTTCGCTAGGCGAATACGTTGAGAGAGAAAGAGAGAGAGAGAGAGGGTGAGACATGCGGGCCTGACGATCGGCCTCGGAGCCGCGTGTCTCTCGTCCCTCGCGATCGTCCTACGACGGCGCGCGAAAGGCCGTGATCACCCTTCGACTTTATCGAACGAGTAATGATAGACCGGGAAAAGAAGCGCGCGGAAGGAGGAAGAGGGAGGACGGAAGGGGGGAGGGAAGGAGGAGGAGGAGGCGCGGTCCTCCTGCCGTGTGTAAAGTGTAACGTTCGCAGGGCGTGTTTTAACGCGCGGTCGCGCTTTTCTGCGCGACGGCGGCGTGCGAGCGAGCGAGTCGCGCAGGCACAGGTTAGGCCTCTGCCCGTCGTCGGCCCACCGCCGATGATCGACGGGCAGTAAACACGCAGTGCAGCCCCGCGGTCCCCTGCCTGCCGTTCTCGGAGCGGCGGATCCACGTGCCGAGGGAACGCTCGCTCGCGCGCGCGTGTGAGTCTCTTCGCGACGAGAGAGCGAGATTCGCTCTCCCGGCGCTCCGAGACAGCTCCGTTTAGAGAACTCCGAACCTCATCGTCCTCGATCGACTGACCGATCAACTGTCAAACCTTGATCGATCGGTCGTGCTTCCCATATACCAGCGCAGATCATACACGCGGCGATAGTGCGGCAACATTGCGATGCTCCAGCAATATTGGAACAGTCGAATCTCGATAATTCGAAGGCCACCTAAACTTTTTCCTTCGGAAGCCGTTGTAATCGGAAAATTAATAAACTCTCGTGCACAAAAACTTTACGTAGGTCGTATTTTCATGTCAGTTCTCTTTTGCTCGAAACAACTCCTCGACAAGTCGGAAACTTCTTATAAATCTCGAAGATTTCTATAGCTCCTCCCTTGAGTTGACTATATCGAGTTATCGAGGTTCGACTAAGGTAGCAATATCGCAGCAACGTTGCAGCAATGTTTCCGCGCTGCGTGTGGGTGTAACGCGGCAAATGCGACTGGGTAATTCCAAATTGGGACAATCGGCCGGTTTGGTTGATCGATGATGGTGAAATTATTGGCCCCTTCCGCGGGAATCTCTCGAGAACGCGACGACGCGTGTTGACTCACGGCGGCGACGACTCCTCTCACGTTTTCTGTCGAGGACGGAGAAAAAAAAGGAGCGCAAAAAATCTACTCGTCACCCTTACGTAAGACGGCCTCGTGCCGCGACTTTGCCCCTTGTACCTTGCCGCTCGCCAGTCTGGCTGTGGGGAAAGGGAGGAAGGAGGGGGGGGGGAAGAGGCAGGCTCTCGTCGGGATATCTCGCACGCGCGCGTTTTTTTTCGGATTATCTTTATCGCTTTTCTTTCTTCCTTTTTTTCTTTCTTTCTTTCTTTCTTCCTTCCGGTGGCGCTATTTAACCCCCGCGTCGGGGAAAGACACACGCCGCGCGCCGTGCCGAAATCGATGGGAGCCCTCTGGGCGCCGATGGCGCCGATGCTGTCTAATGATGACATTTAAATGCGGTGCCGCATCGTTCGATTGTTCGCGCGCGCGGCGCGACGCAGCCGGAGAGGAGGGGGGGGGAGGTGGGAGAGGGAGAAGGGGAGGGAGACGTTTTTCTTTCCTCATTTCTCTTTCTTGTTTTTCTCTCTTTATCGATTTTTCACTTCCTCGCGCGCGCTTCCCCTCTCCTTCTCGCACTTTACCCCTTTCGCGAATTACGCGCGGGGCGACCGTGATTTAGGAATTAATCGCTCGTCGCTCGATGAGATGTAGATAAATTCAGACAGTTTCATTTGCGATTTTGTCTCCTCCCAAAGGCATCCTCCGATTGAGCGGGTTCGACGAGCGATCAGACCCGGCGGCGCAAAGGGAACGGAGTTCGCAGGGAATCCAGATGAGAATGGGTATCGCCAAGGGGGAATGATAGGTGAGAGAGATCACTTTAACTTTCGATCTCTAGCATTGGTATTCATGGTTTGTTTCACGAATGTTTTTTTTAAATAATTCGACTCTATGATTGATTTATTGACATTTTGAGACTGTATTTGAAACGATTCCAAATATAAAAATAGACCATAAATATCGACTTACCATAGGTGTTGGAAACCTTTAGCTTTTTGTTCTAAGCTCTAAATTGACGTATTTTTCCCGGCAAGAAGCTGATCCCTAAACTTTGAGCTGACTAGATCTCAGCTATAAAGTTTAGAGCTTAGAACAGATTAACGTCTCAGCTCGGAACTTGAAACCAAAAGCTAAAGGCTTATTGCATTTATTGTCATAGTAAATCAGGATTTAGGGCAGGGTTTGAAAAAACCCAGGTGTTTTTTTTTTTTTTTAAAGATCAGCCCAGTGGATTTTTTGAGTTTTATTAGGTTTTATGCGTTTTTATTTTTTATAGTCTATTAATGATTAACAACATTTGCTACTTAATCGATAATTAAATCTTTATGAATTAATTTCAACCTAACTTATTTAATTTAATTTATTCAAATAAATGTACATATATCTGTGTAAGGGACATCCTGTGTCAAATCGATTAATCTTTGACCCTTATCGTTGTTGATGTATTTTTTAATTTTTTTTTGTAATATGTAATACTAAATTGTATTAATTTATGATAATTAATTTTAATTGGATTTTTTGTGAATTTTTATAAGTATTTTTTTAAGTGAATTTTTTTGAAGTGGTTCAACCCAGTGAAATCCGATAGGTTTTATTGGATTGGGCATCTTAAACCTGATTAATGTCCATTTCTACCAATATAGATTAACTTTAATCTCGGTTTTATTTATTTTTTCTTTTTTCTAATTCTTAGAACTAGAAAAAGATACAAAATAAATTAAACCAAGATTAAAATTAATCTACATTGATAGACGTGGCCATGAGGCGATAATCCGGGAATCGGAGAAGAGTAACTTATCGATGTGTCTGTGGCAGGATGCAAGAGGGTAATACCGCCGTTGCGCTAGCGATGGTGACCCCCGGATACGATCAGGACCCAGCGAGTGGGGTCGCCGACTATACGACTCATCAGGATCAGGCGCAGTTCGAGGCCGACAAGAGGGCCGTGTACAAACATCCGCTCTTCCCGCTGCTGGCGTTACTCTTCGAAAGATGCGAGCAGGCGACCCAGAGCTCGGACAACTCCACGTCCGAAAGCTTCAACATGGATATACAGGCTTTCGTCCAGCACCAAGAAAGAGACCGAAAGCCCTTCTTGATCAATGACCCCGAGATTGACGGTTTGGTAAGATTGAAACGAACTTTTCAATAACGTTGTATGTAACCCAGTAAGCAAACCGTCCGAAGTATGACAACTGGTTGGCAGCAAATTTGCTCAGCTATTGCAACATCATCTGTATCCGGATTAAACTCGTTTAATCGTAAACGTGTTTTGCCGGTAGAACCTGCCGATATAATCTGACAGTAAATTATCGACGGAAAGCAAGCAAAATTTGTCATTTCATAAATTTAAATGGAATACGTTATTGAAATGATTACGAAATGATAGATTCTCTGCTCAGTTTCTGTAGTCAATTTCTCATTATATTTACCAGATTTGCTCGCAAACTACGCATTGAAAATTGAGGATTGCGAATTGAAGATTAGAATTCTAATTAAATTAATTTTAATCCGTTTTATTTCTGATTAGCTGAATTCTAATTCTCCACTTCGTAATCTTCTCCTTAATCTTCAATGCATTCTGATATGAGCTTTCTATTTTCTGTTGGCATTCTTTCGACAAAATTTGTAACAAATGTAAATTTGTAAAAAAACTACTTTCGAAATCTGTTCTCAACAGATTTAATTATCCCAGTCTTTGTATTTTCCTCATAAACTATATATAAAAAAGATGAAATTGATATATTAACAGAGAAGATGTACAACAAAAATCGTCTTTATGTAGTTTCCTTTTTTTTTCCTTCAAGTACGAATGTTGATTGAAAAGAGATGATGTACGTATATTCCTACGGATGTCTCTCTTTTTAATCAGCATTGATACATGGAGGAAAAAATGGAAATACTTAAAGATGATTCTGTGTTACGCAGTTTCTTTGTCAAACTGGGTTACCTTCACAGTACAGGTCGAATGCTTGGTCTAGGCCAATGACTTAATATCTATTTGCGTTCATATGATTTCTTTATAGAAAGCATGATGTTGGTATATTGACAAAATAGTCCCGCTTTTTTTAAACTGACTTTAGTACCTTGAGGAAAAGAAAGAATATCTAAAGGTGCCTCTTTGTCGCACAGTTTCTTTGTCAACTTGGTTAGCTTTAAGCTACAAGTCAAATGCTTGATTTAGAAGAGACCTGGGCATGTATTACGGAACTGTTCGAAATAGATTCCAACCGAAATTATTTCGTTTTCTCTAGTAAATACAATAGAAATCTAGGGATTGATTGAATAATTCCGATCGAAATCCAAACGAACAATTCCATAATATGTACCCTGTTCTTTTTAACTGAATTTCTTGTACGGTTTATCCTTCTTTTTTTTCCTACGTTGAAGAAAAAGATTGTTCTTTGCGGCTGAACTAGTATACACTTGTACATAAAATGAAACGTGTATATATATTGTGTATATATATATATATATATATATATATATATATTTGAAGTGACGAACTGGCGAAAGCTAGAAAAAATTTCAATGCAATCTAGTGCTGCAACAAAGAACAGGTTTATATACGTCATTGAAATCTCCGCTCGTCTTTTTTTCGTTCCCGCGCGAAGTTGAGATCGCGAACAAATGAACGATGGAAACGATGAAGAAATGACGATCGGTTTGAACGAAGCGTTTAACCGCGTTTCCACGGGGACACGTTTCTCTTGCAGATGATCAAGGCGATACAGGTGCTGCGTATTCATCTACTGGAGCTGGAGAAGGTGCAGGAGTTGTGCAAGGACTTCTGCAACAGGTACATCACGTGTCTGAAGGGCAAGATGCAGAGCGAGAACCTGCTGCGGAGCGACTACAGCCACCACGGGCACGACATGGGTCCGTCGAGTGGAAGCAACGGCAGCAGTCCGTTGCAGGTTAGACGTTTGTCCCGATACATCCGCGATGAAGCTAGGCTGTCCCCCCCGGTCTCTGCCCGGTCTTATCCCCCTCACCAACGTAGATATCCCCGTAGTAGAAGGGATGTACGCGAGGAGAGTCCCGCGACGAAGTTGTCGGTTGTCTCGCCGTTGCCGTTTTGTCGCATCGCGACCCGGTAAAGCCGCCGTCGATTCGACGTCGAGGCGGTGTAATATTGTGTCAGTGTTGTTAAAAATAGGGATTTCTCCCTAAACGTAGGGAATTTATACTACAAAAAGGGAGTAGGGAATTTTTAGTTAAAAAGGCCCAAAATGTAGCGATTTTTAAAATCATTGTAGTGCCATATGTTCTGTGGTGCCATAAGTCCAACTTATGTTTTATATTAATATATAAAAACTTATATATTTTTATTATATATGTTTATGTATTTATATACGTACATATATGTATACACTTATATATTTTTATTATATATGTTTATATATTTATATACGTACATATATGTATACACTTATATATTTTTATTATATGTTTATATATTTATATACGTACATATATGTATACACTTATATATTTTTATTATATATGTTTATATATTTATATATGTATGTACATATATGTATACAGTTTTTCTTTTGAAACTAATATATATTTATATTCATTTATATGTGATATTTTCTTTATTTTCATCATTATTTTTATTTTCTTTTGAATTTTGTAACAGTTTCCCTTCCATTTTTTTGCGTAGGGAATTGTAGGGATTTTATATAACGTCGATAGGGATAAATGGAAATTTGGTTTTAACAACACTGTATTGTGTACTTATATCGCCGCGTACGACGAGAGCGTACGCGTACATCTCTTGAGATATTACTGAATTTCCCATCCCTGCTCTCTGACGGCTAGTTGAGACATATATTTGCCAGGTGCTGTCATCTACAGGCAATGATGTTGAGTCGGGAGCTAACGGATTCAGAGTGAGCCGTGGGGACGCCGTGGCGGAGAACGACGGCGCGAATCCGCATCACGCGCGGGAAGAGAGCGTTAATCACGACCAACTGTCGTCGGTCCGACCGTCTTCCGCCGTCCAGCGCTCGGGCAAATCCACTAGCCAGGACCACGACGATCCGCTCTCACCGTCCACCGTACACGGAAGTACACCTCTCTCGCAAATCGGGGCGCATGGATGCGCCCCGGTTAACGACATGTATCTCGGCCAAGGTGAGTCCGAACTGCGAGAGCTGTCGTGAATTCGCTATTGAATCGCCGAATGAGATTTCTTTGCTCTTAACCGAGAGTTGTGCTGATCAACCTGAATCAGGATCGACTGATCGGTTGAAACATTATTCTTCTTTCGTTGACTCTTCTTAGATTCCCCTTTAGGGTGTTTACTATCCGACAAATCTGGAAAATCTCAGGAGTTTCAAGGGGTTTTTTTTTACCTTGAAAATCGGATTTTCGTGGAATTTTATTGATACTTGGGAAAGTTTTTGAAATTTTATTTTTAAATTTCAAATTCTTTTGGAATTTAAATTCGATCTCTTTGAAAATATTTTTCATATCAAACAGTTTTTTAATCATTTTTCTTGACAATGTCGCAGAATGTCGATAATCGGTTAGCAATAAGTAAATACACGTCTGCATAAATTTACGTATATTCTCGTGTGATTCATTGGTTTTTACAAAAATGGATGAAAAGATGATACAGCAGAAGAGTGTAATTCATTAATATACTATGTAGTGAACTCTATATTATCCTATCAATTTCGTGTGTTCTAATTGTAGAAAAGAATAGAATTAATAGAATTAATAGGTACAGTCTTGTGTAATTTCTATCTTTCAAATTTATTATTAGATATAATTTGTTTGAGTTATTTGCATTTCAATTTATTTCAAAATTGCATCATAAAATTATCTAATCTTACCTGGAACTTTAAATAAAAATAGCTGGAAAATCCGGGAATTCTCAGGGAATTTTTTTACAAGATTTTAGTAAACACTCTTTGCTCTTCTTTTTCTGGACAACAACAGTTATATTTTGAGCACGACGGATCTCCTGCTAAAATTCCGTTTATAGATGACAGTAGCGATTATCTGCAGACGATCTCCGACAGAATATACCTGGAGGAAGCCGGATACTGGGGATTAGTTGCGTTACAAGAGCGAGAAAACGCGGAATACGCGGACGTCAGGAATTCTAACGATGAAAAGTATTTCGGTTAGGAACGTAACGTGTTTCTTCCTTCAGCTGCGCGAGCGTTGAGAAATAGCAACGACTCTCTCGTGTTGCCGTTATTATCTCTCGACGCACAAATTGTACCTGTCACTTCACGTCGCGTTGTGGATCATCGAGTGTTAATGGGACACGTCGGTCGTGTTTTTAGACATTACAGTTGCAGGCTCGCCTTCCCCCGCGGCGAGCGAAGACGAGGAGGAGGGTGCCGGCAACGCGGCCTCGAATCACGCTGGGAATCATAGAAGTAATCATGGTAGCGCCAGAAAGGGACGTCAGAAGAGGGGTGTCTTACCCAAACAGGCAACCAGCATCATGCGAACGTGGCTCTTTCAGCATTTAGTAGTGAGTAACTTGTGTCGATAATTCGATAAAACAGTTTAAGTTTCATGTCGACACGACGCATTGGAGATTAAAGCTTCTGACTACTCAGCCAAGAACTTCGCGTTCGCGATATGGCGACGCGGTGGGAATTAGAATATTATTCGTATTAAGGCCCGTTCTGCAATACGTTGTATGTCGGTGTCATAAATTGTAAGCAAAACATGTCAAATGTGAAGGGAATACTCGAGGGGTCAACCATTACCAAAAAAAATGTAACAGTGATTGCTAATTGTGGCAATACGCTTTATTGCTAGTATTGCTATTGTATTACTTTCGTTTTGTCAGTAATATTGCCATCTATTATCTCACGTACTGCCATCTATTACCTCACGAACTGCCACTTATTGCACAATATTGCCAAGTATTGCTAATGTATTGCTAGGTATTGCTATATATTGATAGCGTATTGCTAGTATTGTATTGCCGCAATATACTATAGCAATATATTCCTAAAGAAATGTACACTGATTCCCATAGTGGTTGACCCCTCGGGAATACTCGACTGTGATTGATCAATTTTTACTGCTTACAATACCATACGACATATTGTAAAATACGGACCTTGCTGTAAAAAGTGTAGACAACAAAATTCAAAATTTTGTCCTGCATGCCATTTCGTTATGTGCTTAATTGTGAAAACATGACCTTGCCTCGTACTTATCAAATTCATAAAAATGGATGAAAAGTAATGTTAATATCTTTGAATTTTATACGTAAAAGCTTATTTTTCAACACCTGTCAAGCTGTGTGTGTTTTCTTGTCTTAATAGGTTTCACTTTACGTGCCTTTTACGACTCTTTACTGACTGTGTCAAGAGGAGAAAAGGATAATTTCCGTTCATTTCTACAAGTGTTTTAAAGCGATCCTATTTTTTTCGTTTCATCCAAATTCTCTTTATTTACAAATGGCGTGCAAGAAACTTTAATGTGTCATTTCTCGCTTATGACGTCACGATTCCAATACAGCCGCGGTGACTAAGATCGGAGCCTTAAGGATTGTGAATTAGAGAATAGACTAATCGATTTCGATTAATCAGAACGAAACGGATCAAAATTAAAATGTATCTAATTGGCCGAATTCTAATCTTCAATTCACAATCTTCAATCTCCAATATGTATATTGTAGTATGACAACATGGGCTCTATACGCCTTGTCTCGTGCAATCGTAATCCGATGCCTATCTGTCGCAGCATCCTTATCCGACCGAAGACGAGAAGCGTCAGATCGCCAGCCAGACGAATTTAACGCTGCTGCAAGTGAACAATTGGTTCATCAACGCCCGCCGACGAATCCTGCAGCCCATGCTGGACGGCGCGGGCACGGACGCGGCGTCGCGTGCGGGGAAACGTCACAAGACCTCGAAGCACACCGCGCAGCAGCAGGCGGCGCAGCAGCAGCAGGCGGGCTGGCAGTCCGAGGATTCGGCGAGTGATTCGGGCTCTAGCGACGGTGAGGGGGGTGCCGCTAGATCGAAAGACGGTAACGATAGCGATGAGGATGATCTTCACTGACCTCTGTCGATCACCGAAACGTCAACCTCTTTACGGTACCTTCAAATCCAGTTGCTCATTACAGTATTAAGGTATTCGAGAATAGATATCGCTTTAACTGTCAAATACGTAATTAATCTTGCGAAAGTTAAGAATACGTGGGTAGAGGTTATCACGCTCTCTGATTATTCGATACTTTGATACATTTCGTCGACTGCTACCCAACCGTCTGCTTTTTTTTTTCATGACAGCCGATTAGATCCTTAATCTCTGCTCATATATATATTTTACGTCACAAAACGTTGTAATGAACTCGGAGAACTGAGATTGAATAGGTACTAGAAAGAGCAGCTTTACTTAAGTAACGTCTAACTCTCAAAAACGAAAATACATACGTTTACATTGCGCTACGAGAAAATGTTATTTATTTTTTGAGAACAAATTTTTAAGTGAACGATGCGCAAGTAGTGAAGATACAAATCTGAACCTTCTTTCGAAATCACAATCTTTTTGTTAGTTTTTAACAGTCGTGTCGCTTGTAACGAACGTACGTCCCTGATGGTACCGTTGTTTAGGACGTTCATGTAATGTATGTAAAAGATGTATATTGTTTTAAATATAATCACGTTACATTGTGTATGTTATGCATGTATGTTACGTATGTAACATGATTATATTGTAACAACTCGTCGAACAAAGATACGCCGCGAAAAGAAAAACGAAATGTTTTTACGACAGCCAATGTTTCCCATTCTTTCAATGTACATTCTTAAGCACGTGTCAGCCAGGAATTATATTGTATAAATTTATTCTTTTGTATATTTCCGAATGGTACACTAATTGTCGATCGGTTTTTTTTTCGTATATAACTTTGATATTTCATTAGGCGTAATAATAAAACAAGATAAAGACAAGATCAAATTTTTTTTTTGCTAGCTTTGCCAACAATACTATGTTATTACTGCTATTGTTACGATTGATGCTGTTACCCAGATATTACTACTATTACCACTACTACTATTATTACTATTATCCCTACTATTATTACTACTATGCTACTTCTAGTAATAGTATTACTATTGCTATTCCTTCCATTACTGCTATTACTATACTACTATATTTCTACTATCATTATCAATATTATTACTGTTAACACTATCGCTCCTGCTACCGCTAAAGCTACTACTTACTATTACTATACTACTACTATTACTACTACTGCTATTACTACTATTACTAAATTACTACTACTATTACCTATTACTACTAATACCTACATTTCTAATACTGCTCCCACCACAATAATTGTTATTTTTATGTGTCACAACAAAATATCTGCATTTTTTTTGTTTGCAGTTATACAGAGTGTTCCTTAAATAAATTATCATACTCAAGGAGGCAATTCTTTCGTTTATTTCAAGTAAAAAAGTTTATATAAACATGTGTCCTAAGCAGCTTAGTTTCCAAAATATAGAATGTTTTAAAAAAAATATTACTATAAAAATATTAATATTATTACATGTTTAAATTTTTTTGAAAACATCCTATTTCGGAAACTAAGCCGCTTAGGACACATGTTTATATGAACTTTTTTATTCGAAATAAACCAAAGAATTGCCCCCTTGATTATGGCGATGTACTTAAGGAACGCCCTGTATAATGTGTGTAAGTTGTTTTGAGATTGACATTCATTAATCTGCTTTATAATTTGTAACTTGTATAAAGCCAATATGGACAGTGTGTGAAAAATAGTAAAATGGTAAAACGACCGTTGCTAACGTTAATTAAAAGTTTAATTAAAGCTATTCGATTAGACGCATTGTGTGGCACATTTGTAAAAAGATAAATATGGGGTAAATTAATTTCCAAATTAAAGAATGAGAATTTTATAGTTCGTAGTATGCAATATTAATTATTGTACTTTTCGTGCCATTAAAGAGCGTGGTAACTTCCGCGCTTAGTCTTTGTTCAGCTCTGCAGTGTCGTGGCATAGCGAAACGCTGTCCCTCCATGATAATAATAAATAATAATAATAATTAATAATATAACTAATGATAATAATTATTACGCTATTGATAATGATAATAATTATAATTATAATTATATAATAATGATAATAGTAATAACAATAACAGCAACAGCAGCAGCAAAACGCAACCACAATACAATGATGATATGATACTACTTTAAATATATGATGATTATATTTTTAAACTCTAAGTGTCGTCCCTTGAGCGTGTACTGCACGCGTTACAATGATAACTAACTGTACATATTACATGCGGAACTGTTAGTGAGTCAGAGATAGAGAGAGAAAGAAAGAGAGAACGGACAAAGCAGAGAACAAATATTACCAAGTATGTTAAAGAAAAGCTAATACTTTTCTTGGAAAAAAAAATTGGATATATTCAACGATATATAAATATAAAAAAAATATATATATATATATATATGACATTTTGGAATATTAATGTTTACGCACACTGGCTGTCTACATGTGATCATTACGTTTTACCAGCAGAAATTTACTCTACCGCGTTACTTTGGCGGACACAGACAGAGGCTTGTTCATTTCGAGCTTCCCACGAGCGAGTCCGAGGGCTAAAAAGAAAAGACTTTTGATATCCACTCTCGCGAACTGACTGTTCTCGCAGATGCCATTCTTCGTGTACATACCGTTCTTCCTAATCCATAACATAACAACGCGTGTATATTTATGCTTTCTCCAAACGCCTATCATTTCCACGCGATTTCCGTCCATCGAGATTTGAATGGCTAAGACCGTCTTTACCTTGTTAGATTCGAACGTGAAGTAACGTAGCGTAAAATTAATTGTTTCCAAGTTGACATCTCCGTAAAGGGGAGATGTGCGATCTTGCTCTTCTGTCACAGGTTCGCCGAACGTGGAATTCTCCGTTTTTCGTTTCTCACAATTTATCTCGGTTCTGCTCGTCGCTTATTTCTCACAGATACCGCGGTTAACGATAAGCTGGCCACTAGTCACTCGATCATAGGGGGAGGGGAAGAGGGGGTAAATGTGTCATATAATATAGCCTGTCTACGTGGTTGCCTTAAGTAGCCAAGCATCATTTCCTCTGTACTTATAATTTTTGCGTTGAGTCGATGTACATAGCCAATTGACAGAGTGCTTCCATTAGTAGCTTGTTCGATCTGTTTGTTTTTTTTTAATTTTTTAATAGATAAAATCTATAACTTCTTTTTTTTCTGTTTCTCAAGCGACTTTTTATACGCAATACTCTCCGCTCAATCGCCTAATCGTAAACGTTGATTGTAACGTAATAAAAATGCGGAATACTTGAAAAATACGCGATATGTGTGACTTGAGTAAAACGATATTATCAGTTGCAGACAGCTGACAGTATAGCTCCCGTGCACGGTGCCGCGACAACAGTTTATTTAAAAAAATCGGCTGCAGCGCAACAGTAAAGACAAGAAAAAAATTAAACAAAAAGATGTAAAACATTCGGTATTGCTGGACCATTGTCTTCTGGCTTGAAAAAAAAAAAGGTATTATATATTCATTAAGAGGGATCTGTTCTACGGAACGTTTATAACAAAAGGCAATAACGCGCAATCGCAATCTAATGTTTAAAAACAATCGTTATTAAAAATAATCGCTCCTCCAATAATCATTGCTATTCTCGACGAGCCGCCACCTCGTGTACGGGACTATACTGTATCCGAGAAATAAACGAACGTATAGGATGTAAACGCTAGATTATAAGAGGTAGGTTGTAAGGCTGAACCACGTATACGTATGTGCTGCGGCACCAGACGACTGTGATAATTCGGTGGGCGGTGCCCAGCCTCCTACTTCATCCTTGTATACTAAATAAAATAAAAAAAAAAAAAGAACATCAACAATTAGTTAAAAGGAAAAGCGTAAAAACCGATTACCGAAGAGGTTGAACGTATGTCGGGACGTGCGTTGCGTAGAACGTTTTCGCCAATCCACATGCACGTGGGCAGACGAGAGACGACGCGGTGATATGCACACCTGGCGTATCTTTTTTTTTTTCACCGGACACTCTCGCTTCCTTTTTCACCCAGCACACGGGTGTCCGTGAAACGAAGATTTATTAACGACGCGTGCATGTGGACACTTTGTACGCGGTAGGAGACGTAAACGTCTGCCGCATCAATACGTCGATGCGAAAAAAATAATTATCTATCGAGAATTAGATTAAAAAGAGTTATATGAAGGTAGAAATGGGTCAGATACTTTTTATATAGCGTACAGTTAAGATAATTTCGCGATTATTCGAGAGAGATTACTCTTTATTAGAACTAATCTTGATTTGAAAAGCAACATCCGCTTTTTACTCCGTGAAATATCACCTCTGGTACCGCTACTCATAGATGCTCGTGTGTAATACAATTGTGTGGCAAAATGCTGAAATTATGTTACACATGGTATCTACGAAAATCGACGCAGAAAAGTGACTCACAGGATTTCGTTAATTATGTGCTTGCTTCGGATTACTTAATTAATCTGATACTGATTCATCTGGATTAAGTAACTTAGTAACACCAGTTCCAATTTTGGACGTGTCTCTCAGTCTCCGTCTTTGTTTCAGTAGCACATGTGCAAGATGAAAATATCGTTTCTTTTTATCATGCGCATCTATTTTTCCGTTCTATGCGTGCCTAGTCAAGTAACAAATGTACAGTAGAGAAGCAGCGCAAGAGAAATTGTCCAATTTTACAGACGTTGAGCCAGTTAGGAATGTCCTGACCGAGCATACACACGAGATTCTGTAATACACTTCTCAAATCCGAATCAATTCTTCTTCCGAGAATGGCCCATTTCTAACTTTGTCCAAATTTCAAGTCGTAAATGAGAAACATATTATATATACTTATATGTATACTAAAAAAAAAGGAAAGCATAGATATACAAATTAAATACTTCTTTCCCGTGTACATCAACGCCCTGTTAAATAAGTTGTTTATCGATAATAAACGCCATCACGCTTGCATTACTCCCTTTTTATTCTTTTCGCAATTATATGCAGTAAGTTGCCGTCCGTTTTCCATATTGTCAATTATATTTCTGCACCACGTTTACATCCCGTTGCTCCAACGATATATATGCAAACTGAAAATGATCAGAGAAATATGCACTCGAGATTTAATATTTGTGGCAGAGAAATTCTATAACAATACGCAGAGCGCTTTTTTGTTACAAATACTAAATCTCGAGTGCATATTTCCCTTATCATTTTCATTTTGTTTTCGTATTGTTATCCTTCAAAGACTAAATTTTACGAAAGAGAGAAAGGCGGGAAGAAAGGAATTATACTTTTCCATCTATCGATCTATAATCCGTATTTCGATTTTTTTTTTTTTAACATTACATGAATAACAAATTTTTATCGCTGTTGAAAGCAACTACGCTCTAGCGTCCTTTTACGTAATTTTTTTATTTAAAAAATCTTATGTCAGTGCGACTATCTTGTACACACATACACATTCATTCCTTTTATACACACGGGTACACAATACGAAGCAGAATTAAACTTGTCGAGCTCCCTGTTTCATTTCGTCTATCGTCTCTTCTCGTATATATAACTTCATAAATAATTTATAATAGAGATATCATAGAGAAAAAAAAAATGAAGAAAAGTTAGATGGATTCACTTTGCCGTTTTACATTGAGTATCAAAGATGCATCCGTGATTTTTTTTTCAATTGAACACTACGGATGGAAGCGATGATGATAAATAAGACCATTTATAAAGATGATAACGTGACACATCCGAATAGTTTTCGGGAGTTGTAAAAAAATCGTCCGAGGGCGTACCACACATACGGTTAAAGGCTAGTTACTGGAACATCTCGATTTTCTCGATGGTTATCTAACCTGGTCATTGATATGTGGTCCGCAGCGTATCCCTAGCAATCAACAGTTCTCCTGAAAATATCATCGGTATATAGCGGTGTGTGTGTGTGTGATATAATTTAATACATTACTTCAATTATTAAAGTTTATTGATATATCAATGCTAACATTATTTATTAATGCGTCAACATTATATTATAACACATTACTTTAATTATATTACTTTAATATAATTTACTTTAAAAATTACGAAAATACATTTAAGATTAAAAATCACAGATAATAAATGAGGGCTGATGAGCCGAGCTGGTTTTTCGCGCTGATACATCTTACAAAATTGGTAAATATAAATAAATTAATAACAAAGACGTTTCGACGTATAATACGGTCACCTTCAGTGTGAAAACCGAGCAAAGTGATCAAAAATTGACTTCTTGGAAAGACGATACAAACCTCGAATTAAATAGCACGTCAGCTCGACTATTGATAAACCACACTAAAATAAACGAGAAACCGGCGACCAGGCTACCCAGAATCAGACTAAAGCGTTCCGTCGCCGCTGCCGGTTTGAGAAACATTCTAACGCTTAACGTTTGCCATATGGACTCCGTCCAAGTCGAGTAGACGCCCGATTTCATGTCGTAATCTATAAGGGAGAAACAATTGGATATACGTCGATTATATACAATTGGTATATAATTGATATACCTCTACCGCTCCTACTTATCGCAAATAACGTGGCGACTTACCCTCGATAATAAACGCAGGGCTCACGGCTGTACTGTAATTGACGGTTGAATTGATGCACAAGCCCGTAAAGTTCTGGCCGCCCATCCAGGCGAGCCTGTTCTCGTGGCACGTTGATTCGTTCATCTCGTAGAGCTTTTCGCCGGTCAGGTAGGCTAAGAGCTGACCCGTCAAAGTCGTCGCGATGTTAAGCGCTCTGTGCACCCCGACGTACAACGGCAATACCTGATCGATCAGTTTAGCGCTAGGCGCCGAGGCCGCGCGAAACAGAGGGCACTTGGCGCTCTCCAAATAGCAATGTAGCATGTCCGCGACAAGCGTCTCCATGGGTATCGGCAGTTCGGCGGCGGGTTGCGGCGGCGGCGCCTCGCCCGTCACCGCTTGGTAAAGCTCATTAGCAACCTGAAGAGCAATTTTCGCTAAGTCTGATGCAAGCGCGCTAGTATCGTTTCTAAAACATGATACACGGGGGAAAATCTCAATGATGCGAAATCTCAGTAATGCTAAAATAACATGAGGTATATTATATATCAAGATCGAGCGAAAGTTGTGTATGTACTTATCAAAACCGAGACTCTCCGCGTCGTCCAAGATACCGTTGTAGTATCGGTTCTCAAACTGTTTCCCGTGGTTGCTTATGACGACCGTCGTTAGATTCGGTTTCGCCTCCAGGAAACTCTGCACGGACGTAGGTGGGACGCTACCGTCTTTAACCGACGCATTCAACGCGTCCCGCAGACGCTTTATCATGTCGTCCTCGCCGTTGGTGTGAAGAAATATCTCTCCCTGGCCCAACTGGCCGAATTCGATCACACTCTGGATATCGTCGAATTTCAAGGTGACCCCACCGAGGGCGTTAAAATTGTTCTGCTTCATGTCGTACACCATACGGCTAGATCCTATGTAATCGAACGACTCTCCATTCAGCAGAGAGAATACGACGTTCGTCTCTAGATAAGATAATAAGAATAAATACACACATCTTGATAACACAACTTATTGGCGATGCATTGGCTAAACATTAGCATGCATTGGGGATATATTGGACTTAATATTGCCCGATATAAAGGCAATATTAGCCATAAATGAAATGCAAATGCATTGCCAATGTAAAACACAAAATGTCTAAAAGTGCAAATCAATTTTCAAGGGAAGATCAGATCCTAATAGCACAATTCATTGGTGATATATTGGCTAAACATTATAGTTACATCGGCATGCATTGGAAATATATTGGATTGCCCGATATAAAGGCAATATTAGCTATAAAACTAAATGCAAATGCATTACCAGTGTAAAACACAAAATGTCTAAAAGTGCAAATCAATTTTGGAGGGAGAATCAGATCCTAATAGCACAATTCATTGGTGATATATTGGCTAAACATTATAGTTACATCGGCATGCATTGGAAATATATTGGGTTGCCCAATGTTGCCCTGATATAAAGGCAATATTAACTATAAATTAAATGCAAATATATCGCCATTATAAAATACAAAACGTCTATTTTGCACGTGCAAATCAATGCTCCTCAATGTTCGTTTGGGGGTTCCTATTTGTTACATTGAACCAATATTGCAGCAATAATTTGTGCTACTAGGATATTCCAATTACGCAACGTTCTATAACGACTCTGAGGCGAGATTAATACGTACTGTCGACGGTGGCATTTAAGGAATTCAGGTAATACGCAGTGGCGAGCAACGTGACCAGTCCAGTCACGGCGTTACCCGCACCGGGCGATATGCCATCGAATAACGACGACGCGTCCAACCGCGCCGTTACCATTATCACCGTATTGTTGTCCTCGTCGAGAGGCGCCAGGGGCCAGTGTATGTTTCTATCCCCGAGCGGGTCGCAGAACTGCGTCGGATTGAAATTCAACATGAACTCCGTACGCTTTATGCAGGATTCCGAGTTAACGGCGGCGTACATGAACGACTTCATCTCTATCGCGCAAAGGGACCGCCGATACTGCAGCTGGAGATCGTGCGCGTTGTGCGTCCAGAAGCACGATTTTATGGCCTCCAAGATCGTTTGATTCTGAAAACCGCGACACCTTTAGTGTTTGTTTTGTAACGCAGATCTTCCACGCCCAGTTTGTATTGACACGTTCTTATATCTTACACGGTCAATATTGTCAGTACCAACAAATATATTGCCAATATTTATTGACCATGTGTGGTTTATATTGATGGATTGATGTAGAATATCGACGCTGATCTGGTTTTCTTGATTTCCGAGCTTCAGAGATATTCCCTGCAGCAATGCTCGAGAAATCCAAGTCAATGTTCTACATCAATCTCACACGATCGATAATATTGTCAATGTTTGTTGATAATGACAGTATATTATTGACCGCGTAAAATCCGCAAAAAGAGTAACGTCAGCATTTTCGTCAATACAACTACACAATGATGTCCATAAAACTGAGTTGAACATTGTCAATAATACATGTAATACATGTCAATAATAATGTAACAATTGTTAAGATATTGATGCCCGCTGTCACTATTGTCGGCTGCAATTTTTGCAGAAAAAACTTAGTGACTGTTGTGAAATTCTTCAATATAATTATTATCCTTCATTATGGTTCTTATCCTTAGCTTACGAATATAAATGTATGAACCAACCACATAAAAAAATCTTGCAACAGTAAAACTGCTTTTTCTACCGGAAACAACCACTGATTCAATATCGATCAGTATTGATCATGTAAGGTCTGTATTACAATAAAATACGATTCCAACCTCTGTGTAAAACATAGGAAACGGCCAATCTTCCATGAGTAACGCAGTGCCAAAGGGATTCCACGGGTGCACGTCGTCACATCTCTTGTAACCGGCGTATCGATTGGGACACTGGTCTTCGGGCGAATAGTCCGATGGGCGTTTGTGGTCGACATTTTTCGTCAGCAGCACTCCGTTTATGTTGTTCGTATTTCTGAGCCTTACGAGCGTGCTCATGTTGAACATCGCGAACGGCAGGACCACGGTGTACGGGCCGGCGTTGGCCTCCTTTTCTATCCAAGCGATGTCATCGTCCACCTCGACCAAGTGTACCACGCCTACGCTTCCCGATCTGCTAGCTGAAATATGACAAGTGTCAGTGTGTATGTGTGTGCACGAAGCAGCTCGAGATAAATCGGCACTGGAGATCGGGAAAAGTTTGATGATCGAGGGAGCAACGGCGAGGGGGGAGGGGGGGGGGAAAGAATGCCGATTCTTACACGAACAGCCGAACTGATGTGTGCCATTGTGTCTTCTGAAACACGCCGCTACACCCTCCAAAGGCATGTATATCATATCCTTTATTCTCTCGGAGGTCACTGAAAATCGATTTTACAATAATTGTGACATTATCAAGATCGAATGGCGCTGAAATTGTGAATGGAAACTCGTCGCTACCTGAATTTACGATGACAACTGCCAAAACGTACTTCCACATTTGCACCGCCATATTCCGCTATTATCGCTTGTACTCGAGATTAATGATCGGCCACAGATTTGGGACATTACCTGGTGCTGTTACGGCACATCCCGGAACGCGAGATACGAAAACAATTAGCAATGACACATCGTGAGTCACGATGGAGATTCGCTTTGGTTAGAATTAATACTTGGTTAGAATCGTTTGTCGGAGACTCTCTCTCTCTTTCTCGCGCGTATCGCGTTCGAGCGAAATCCAAATTTCTCCGAACTGCAGCAAAAGAGGAGCTTCGAATGTGTTGTGTAATTCGTACAAGAAACGTATCAAATACTGTATCAAATAAAACTGCTTTGTTGGGCTGCAGGCTACAGCTGCAGATGCCTTCGGTCTTTCTTCACCGTGATAAATTCGCGTACATACGCATTGTGCGAATGAACAGGAATTTCCTGGGAACGGGCCTTTAAATGGCCGCGTTCAGCGGAGAAAGCAACAGTAAAATTCTTCAATGTGATTGGTACTTGCCCTCGGATCTTCTTGGATCTAAATTCTAAATGTATAAACCAATCATATTAAAGAATTTTATAACAATTGCAAACCTGCAAACACAGATTACAACTGCAATATTGCAGCAACATTGTAACATTCCAGCTATATTGCAGAAATATTACAATGTTGCTGCAATATTGTAGTTATAGTCTGTGTTTGCTGGGAAAGTTGCTTTATCTGCTGGACGCAACCAGTGTGAATGTGAGCGAATAAACAGGAATTTCCTGGGAACGGGCTTTAAATGGCCGCGTTCAGCAGAGAAAGCAACAGTAAAATTCTTCAATGTGATTGGTTCTTGCCCTCGGTTCTTCTTGGATCTAAATTCTAAATGTATAAACCAATCATATTAAAGAATTTTACAACAATTGCAAACCTGCAAACACAGATTACAACTGCAATATTGCAGCAATATTGTAACATCCCAGCTATATTGCAGAAATATTACAATGTTGTTGCAATATTGTAGTTATAGTCTGTGTTTGCTGGGAAAGTTGCTTTATCTGCTGGACGCAACCAATGTGAATGTGAGCGAATGAACAGAAATTTCCCATGGAACTTTGAGAAAAGCGGAAAACAGAAAAGCAGAAGCCAATCAAAACTCGCATTGGTAGTTAATAGTTTTTGCTTTCTGCTTTTCTTGCTACCAGTGCGAGTTCTGATTGGCTTCTGCT